CTCTGGCAACTACAGCCTTGAGCGCCTTGAACAACTCGGCCTTACACCCCCAAAAGCCACCCACGGACACCACACCCCATGACCCTGTAGACCCTGGAGCTGTCGGAGAACCCGAATCCCAGAGCCCCAAAATTCGAAACCCCCAGCGGCCCAAACTGTACTCTTCACCCCAAACCTCAAGCCACCCCGAAACCCTCTAAACCCTATACATCCCAGCCTATAAATCCTCTAAACTCTAAACCCCATAAACCCCATAAACCCCATAAATCCTATAAATCCTATAACCCTATAAACCCTCCAAACCCAAACAAAGTCAAACAATCGAAAGCTCCCGCAAGCTTAGGCCGCAGATCAGCTCGCAGCTTTGGAAGCCGAGCTGGAAGCCTTGGAGGAGACGGGTTGAGGTGAGTTGATGCCCTAAACCCTGAACCCCTAAACCCCTATAAACCCTATAAACCCTATAAACCCTATAAACCCTATAAACCCTATAAACCCCTAAACCCTATACCTTATAAACCCTATGTTGCATAAACCCTATATACCCTATAAACCCCAAAAAACCCTAAACCCTAAAGACCCCTAAACCCCTTTGGTTTAGGCCTCAAAGGGCTTCAAGCTGCTTTGCAGCTCAGGGCTTCGGTGGTCTCGGGGTGCTTTTCTTCCCAGAGCAAGTGGGACATTCGAAGGGCCCTGGTTTAGGGTTTAGGGTTTAGGGTTTAGGGTCTAGGGCGCTCTTCACACCGCTTTTGAGGCAGAGAACTTGAGGCTGCATGAAACCCCCCCCCCGCCTTCGGTTTATGAAAGGAGTGGCCTGAAGTGTCGGGGACACTGCATTTGACTTTGCAAAAAGATGAGTAAGAATAAACAACGAATTCGTTGAATCGTGCGCAGCATATGCTGTACTATACTTTTCGTACCGTACGATACTCTACCACACTATACCATATTATATTGTACTATACCAGGTAAGGTTGCAGTGAACAAGGCATCGCGCACGTAGGAAGTCCATGCACGCGCGTAGGAAGTCCACAAAACAAGTAAGCCTGGTACTAAAACGATAACTGAACGATCGCAAAAACACAGAACAACAACGATAGCGTTTAGTTCAACAGAACGACTGTGTGGAACGATAGCGCTAGAAGGGATGAAAAGATTTTCTGACGGGGTTTTCATGCAAGGAGTGTTACTACGAGGGCCAGATACGACACTGTGACTTTTGTAAAAGCGTGAAGGTTCAGGGTTGAGTGTTGAAACTTCGCATACTTCAAGCATCGAGAATCGGGAATTCCTTGCTGTTCCCTGAGGTCTCACTCCGCTACAGGAAGGAGTAATGTCGACATCTTGCGAATATTTCCAAGATTACCAGAAATAATGTACAAGTATCACTTCAATGTACGATGTGCATCAGCTTCATCTGCAGCATCAGTGAGCGCCGTACCGAGAGTTCCGCAGGGTTTGTACTCCAAGTTAGGTGCTTCCTCGCGCGAGATGTCCACGAGTAGACCCTAGAACAGAAGAGCAAGATCGAAGCAACAGCCAAGAAACTGCCAATATGTATGTATATCTCCACGGCGCGTACGATAGACCGTGCGTAATATGACTCAATGGAAGAACGAGCTAGGCCTAATTTGGACTTTGGGCAATCATCTCCACGTCAGACATCGGCCTCACATAAACCAGGGCCCCTCTGGGTGTAGGCCGCGTATGGCTTAGGGGTATATAAGTCGCAGTCCAGGATGAGATGGAGGAGGAGCGAGTCAGGTGAACTGCAAAGTCTGGCGTCGGGATGGGTTGAGGAGTTGTTTAGCGGCTATGGGGTGTTTGGTTGGATCGTTTCTTGGCTTTCGGAGCTCCTGTTGAAGCCTCACAGTTTGTTGGGAAGAACTGCTGCTGTCTCGTAATCAAGAGCAGGGAGGGGCCTGGGAGACCATATTTGGGAGTCACTCCAAGGGTTAGAAGACAGTCGTAGTCGCGTGGGCAGTTTGCCTCATCGTTTCGGAAGGTGATCCTGCGAAGTAAGACGTGCCAAGAGCCTGCCGCAGGCAAGCAGATCAGGATCAGGCAGCAACGATGAGCAAGGCTCTCTGTCGGTTGTCCCTAAACCCTAAACCCTAAACCCTAAACCCTTGGTCTATTGTATTTTCGACTCAAGTGGCAGAGTGCAGCTTGTAAAGGAAGGTAGAGCAAAGTTCTGAATGCCCTCAGTGCTTTTTTTTTTCTGGGGTCTCCCTTCGTTTGGTGCCTTTGCCTTCGCTTGCGCTCCGAGCGGATCTTTACAAGAGTGAGCCCTGAAAGCAAAGATGTCACGCCGGTATGTCCATTCAAGCTGGCCCCGTGTGCTTAGTCTTGCGTGCGAATGACCCACTAAAAGTCCAGACGTCAATTCCTAAACAGAATGGACCCTAGCTGTCTGAGTTTGAGCACTGTGCATGCTGCGTCCCACCCGTGTACGAGATCGACGCGAAGTTTGACTCCATTTCCTCTCCGTCGAAGTCCTCTGTGGCAGCCGGAAGGTGGGGTTTAGGGTTTCAGGTTTAGGGTTTATTAGGGCTTAGGGTTTAGGGTTAGGGTTCAGGGTTTAGGGTTTAGGGTTTAGGGTTTAGGGTTTAGGGTTTAGAGTTTAGGGTTTAGGGTTTAGGGTTTAGGGTTTAGGGGGTTTATGGTTTAGGGTTTAGGGTTTAGGGCAACAGCAAACGGCGCTTTAACATGCAGCTCCTTTCGGATTTCGATTCGAAGTAGGGTAGGTGTTTCTCTCCAATTCTCGAATCTCGCAAGTAGCTTCTTGCAGAATGCACTGGACCTCTGGGTCTGCGTCTACACAACCCTAAACCCTAAACCCTAAACCCTAAACCCTAAACCCTAAACCCTAAACCCTAAACCCTAAACCCTAAACCCTAAACCCTAAACTAGAGTAAGCCCTAAACCGTCACTTCCAGCGGTTGTGAGCAACAAGAGACTGAGAGCCTCTTCGACTTCGCTGCCTTCAACTCCTAAACCCTAAACCCCAAACCCTACACCCTAAACCCTAAACCCTAAACCCTAAACCCTAAACCACTCTACAAGTGACTCGGCTTGGCGCTTGCGGCTTCGGCTCAGCAGGCGCCGACGCAGTCCATTTGAACACCCTGGCCTAACCTGAGGTTAGACAGATAAACACCGCATGGCAACGCCTTTCACCGCACAGTGCATCTCAGGGGTTTAGGGTTTAGGGTTTAGGGTTTAGGGTTTAGGGTTTAGGGTTTAGGGTTTAGGGTTTAGGGATGTCTCAAGAGACTGTTGCAGGGGTGCCTCGTCGCACGGGCTGGGCTCTGTGGCGCTCTGTGGAGCTGGTGAGGCTGCTGTTATCTGCCCATTCGACCCTAGAAGCTGTTAAAGGCTCTCGGGTGCTTCTCATAGTGAGGGTTTTGTAGCATGGCTTGTTTTAGGTCATACTACGTACTGGCAGAACTTTGTACAGACATGTTGGCATTCTTGGGCCTGTTTGGCGGGGTCAGTTTGGGGTACAGTGGCCCTTTGGGGACTTAGGTTTGTATGGTTCAAATTGCACGGGGTGCATGCAGACAAGCAGGTGTTGCAAGCAAACATGCGCCTCTGGACCCTGGAATGTCAATGTTTTGTAAAAGAGCTTACAATGCCCCAGGCTAGTTTTTATATGCTCAAAGCTCCCCACGGCGTTCAGGGCGCGACGGGTGCAGTAAAGATGCAGGTCTCTCAAACCGAAACATAAAAGCGTTCAGGAGTTCACTGGTCCAAACGGTTTGCATGCGGAAGGTCGCCGAGCTGCTACTTGAGCGGCTCAAGCAGGAGGTGCGGACTGGATCAGACGCTGGTGCATTGGACCATGAGGGCATTAGGGGGTAGGCGGAACACGGCGATCGCGGAGGGTCTTCCTGACTCTATGCCCAGTACTCTATCCTCCGGCGAATGTTGATAACACTTTTCAAACACCTGGGAACCCCAATCCAATTTTGCCAGAGTCTCGACATTTTCATTTGAAAACCCTCAAAGTTCTACACTAGCAGTGTCCTGGGAACTCAGGCTCAAACACTGACTCGTTGATGTTTGAGAGAAGTCGGGTAGTCCTGGAGTGCGTCACTATTGCGGCTCAAAAATGCCGAAAGCTTGCATTTCTACAACCTCCCCCCCTTGCAAACGGGGCAGGTGCACGGGGCACAGCTCTTCGTTGCCACCAGGTCTACACAACAACCTCAAATCCCAATCTGCGCCTGGTAGGCACCGGAGCTCCCCAGTTTTGACTCTTTTTCAGAAGCAAATCCCTGAGGCACCTGACAATCAGCAGCCTGTGTTCCTGAACTTGATGGAAGTCTCCAGGCGCCCTATGATTGCACGGAGGTCTGAAGACTGGGTCGCAGGATTGAGGTGCGGAGGTATCCCATCCTTCTTGTTGTGTTCGGGCTTTAAAAGGCATTGTGGCAACCCTGAAATCGAATCCTTCAACCAGACCACACCTTACAAAGGTGTGGTCTGGTTAGTTGGGTTCACTGCTCAGTCGTTCGTAGGGAAGCCCCAGGCCTTTGTAGTATGTTTGATGCAGTGTACGCGCACCGCCCATAGCTTGCTGCTATCTTGGCTCCTCAGCAGCTATACTTGTGCTCGACTACTTTAGCTAACCGGGTAGAAGATTTGTGGTTGAAGTGAGCACGAGTACAGTTTAGATTCAGGCCCCGCAGTCCTACACTTCGTGCATTTCAGTCACTTCCCAGCATGTGCTGACGGATCTGTGAAGTGCCGCAGGCAGTCAGGACCGCAAGCCTGCCCTGCGACCATCAGTAGTTCACTACTCTGGTGTTACAATGCCTTGCCCTTGTCTAATGTCAGGTGGGCACAGTCACAAGGGGTTCAGGTAGGAGTCTGAAAGACTCCAGCAACTGCTAATGACCCGGTTGTCGACGCCTAAGAGATCCATGTTCGTTCCGGCCTGTCTGCAGCATTTTGCTTCAGGAACGGGCGCTGGAGTAGCTACAGGTAGCATCCTCATCATGTCTTCGCCGGTGACCGTGAAGAACACATTTGTGGAATTGGTCGAGGATGGGCCAGGGATGCTTTGGTTCCTAAGGGCCGACAGCTCGGGCAGATTGATAGAGCATGGTAGGGCGCTGCCGCGCAAATTCCTCAGCCGTACACTTTCATTCCTCCCCGGAGCTGGTGACCCGTGGTGATTTGTGATGTGCCCCGGAAACCCCCTTCCCCCCCGGGTGCTTGCAGGATGTTCAGACACAGTGGACACGTCGTCGAGTGTGCTCTGAGCCGGCGCTTCCTTTGATTGAGGCAGGCAAGCTTTTGAAGCAGTGCCGGAGAATGCCGAAGATTGCTGCATGCTTGTGTGGACAACCGGTGTACCCCGCAGCCCAAGTGGCGGAGCGGGTACTCTCTAAGTAATCCCCTCCCCTTAATATTAAACCCCCCCCTACCCCCTAATATTAAAACCCCCAATATACTGTAATATAGCGATAATGGAGGGTATTGAATATTAGGGGGTAGGGGGGGGGGGGTTTAATAAAAGGGGCAGGGGATTACCGGGAAGGAAAGAAGGGGGTGGACTTAAGCAGCTTGCATCGCTGTGGGGTTTTGTTAAAATCCAGCACGCTGCCTGCAGGCCGAGGCTGCCTGCAGGCCAGGACAGGGGAGTGTTTAGGGTCTAGGGTTTAGGGTTTAGGGTTCAGGGTTTAGGGTTTAGGGTTTCAGCGCAGGGGTTTCAGGGTGCTTCGGAGGCCGGATGGACGCACAACGTTGTGCGTTTTCGGCTGGGGCCAAGATTGCAGCGTGGAGTTTGTGGCGAAGATGTTGAAGGCACGGAGGGGTGGTCTCAAGATGTCCACTGTAAGCCTTACAAGTCTTATAAGTCTTACATAGAACGGGCCACGGTGGAAGCTCCTTCGCCGAGTTCAGGCCAATGAGCTGCTGCACAAGGTGAACTTTCTGTATATGCCCATGGACTTCCGGCGCCAGGTCTCCTTTGGTGAGGTGTTTGTAAATGCCATCTCACCTTCAGCAGCTGGGGATCTTTGGGAGAGCCTGAAAGGAGAGTACCAGGTGCGCTGGGCCAGCAAAGTCCAAGGCCTAAGCGCGCTGATCCAGAAGTACCGAAACTTCTCGGTCATGCACCACGACGTTCCGGACGAGGCGAAGCCTCGCCTTTACGTGAGCGGTGCCCGAATTCCCTTCCCAGCTCCGACGAAGAAGCTGACCAGGCCCCGCCCGAAGGTGCAAGCTCTGCATTGAGCTGGGCCGAGTAGTCAGAGTAGTCATGCGCTGTACTGCCCAAACGTCCTGATCAGAAGGATGCCAGCGCATCGCTTCGCGATCCTTGAGTTGCATCGCTTGGCCGCTGCTTACTCAGTCTAAACCCAAAGCCTCGAAGCCAACCCCACCAAAACATTGAATCCAAAACGACCCCTCAATACCAAGCTACTAAACCTTTCATTGAGTCTAGGTTCTGGTTGGCTTGCTGACTACTCTAAATGGAGTTAGGTGTGGAAGCCCCGCTGAGGAGAACCCTACGCTGCTTATTTAAGGGTGGGGAGTGCAATCCGAACGTAGGGGCGGGTTGAGTCGCATATCCTCGTGCCACGACTCATCGTGGCATCACTGGAGAATCGCTGCGGGCGTGAGCTGGGTTGAGGGTTGAGGCTTGAGGGTCAACGTTCGACACGTGTGAGTCGGGTGTGGGAGGTTCGGGACCTTCCAAGATCACGTGACGCACGCAACGTGCCGACTGTTGATCTTGGAGGCCCCCAGCCAGCCTCCCACAGCCCGAGATCCACATGCCCAGCGTTGATCGTGGAAGTGGCAATCGGTTTAGCCACTTCGGTGATGCGGCTTCTGCCGTAGTTGCCAGCTGTTTGTTTCATGATGACTTCCAACGAAATCATTCAAAATTTGACTTAAGTCGCACTGTCACAAAGCCTAAAGGGTGTGTGTGTGTGTGTGTGTGTGTGTGTGCGCGCGTGTGTGTGCGTGTGGGTGTGTGTGTGTGTGTGTGTGCGTGTGGGTGTGCGTGTGCGTGTGCGTGTGCGTGTGCGTGTGCGTGTGCGTGTGCGTGTGCGTGTGCGTGTGCGTGTGCGTGTGCGTGTGCGTGTGCGTGTGCGTGTGCGTGTGCGTGTGCGTGTGCGTGTGCGTGTGCGTGTGCGTGTGCGTGTGCGTGTGCGTGTGCGTGTGTGTGTGTGTGTGATGGGTGTGCGTGGGCGTGCGTTGTGTGTGTGTGTGTATGTGTGTGTGTGGTGTGTGTTGTGTTGTGTGTTGTGTGTGTGTGTGTGTGTGGGTGTGTGGTGTGTGTGTGTGTGTGTGTGGTGTGTGTGTGGTGGTGTGTGGTGTGTGTGTGTGTGTGGTGTGTGTGGTGTGTTGGTGTGTTGTGTGTGTTTGTGTGGTGTTGTGTGTGTGTGTGTTTGTGGTGTGTGTGTGTGTGTGTGTGGGGCTGGGGGTGTGTGTGTGTGGGGGGGGAGGGGGGAAGTGGTGTTGTGTCGGGGGTGTGGTGTGGTGTGTGGTGTCCTGTGTGTGTGTGTGTGTGTTTGTGTGTGTCGGGGTGTGTGTGTGTGTTGATGTGTGTGGGTCTGGTGTGTGTTTAGTGTGTTTGTGGCTGTGTGTAGGTGTGTGTGTGTGTGTGTGTTGTGTCTGGTGTGTAGGTCTGGTGGTGTGTGTTTCTGTTGTGTGCTGTGTGGTGGGTTGTGCCGTGGGCGTGGTGGTCGCAAGTAGTGGTAAGGGTGGTGTGAATTGTGTTTGTCTGTGTTGTGTTGTTGGTGTGTTGTGTGTGTTGTTGTGTGTTGTGTGTGGTTGTGTTTGTTTGTGTTGTGTGTGTTGTGTGTTTGGTCTTGTGGTTTTGTTGTGTTGTGTCTGTGTGTCTGTGTGTCTGTGTGTCTGTGTGTCTGTGTGTCTGTGTGTCTGTGTGTCTGTGTGTCTGTGGTGTGTCTGTGTGTCTGTGTGTCTGTGTGTCTGTGTGTCTGTGTGTCTGTGTGTCTGTGTGTCTGTGTGTCTGTGTGTCTGTGTGTCTGTGTGTCTGTGTGTCTGTGTGTCTGTGTGTCTGTGTGTCTGT